TCCTAGTCTCTTGTGTTTGATGCTCTTGTTGGATTAGCAGTATTTCCCTTCTCCCTTTCCTGTTAGTACCAAGAATTTCCTGGCTCACTGTATTAAAAGGACAATTCCTTCCTGGCTCTCGCTCTTGTTACTCCTCTCATGAAATTACCTTTTCCTATGCTCTGTGACTAAAACTGCCCTTTTTCCTTCTCTGTGTACTGTTGCTTTAAATAGTTCCTACAGTATTTGTTTGGCTGTGACAAATTACCTTAATTTGTATTTACCTTCTGTTAGGCCCCCATGTCTTCTCAATTTTAAGTGATAACCTTGCTAGATGGATATAGAGATCTTAGTTGACAATCACTTTCAGGGCTTGAAATGATGCTTTGCTGATAAGTGAGAACTCTGAGGAGAGTGTTTGTTACCTGCTATCTCTGCCTTTGATGTGATTTGGTGTTTTTCTTTACAGTTTTTAATTGTTGATTCTTTGATTTGTGTTTTGAGATTTTGATCACGATAAGTAGGAAGAGGGATTCTTCTCTACTTGTGCTTTATGTGGTTCAAAATGCCTGTTATGTTTGGAGATCCATTTTATTCCTTCTAGGTTTGGGAAAACTTTTGCTAATATTTCATTGGATAAACTGTTTTTGTTTCTAGATATTATTTCAATTTTTTTCTTCTACTCCATGAGTTATTAGGTTTGTTCTCTTGAACCTATTAAAAATAAATTGGAAACCTGGTCACATCCATCAAGTTTTGTCTTCACATATCTTAGAGTATATTGTTGTCTTGACCTCATCCTCCACCCTGAAATCTGTTCTCCTTGGTTTATTTTTTTAAAAAACTAATTTTTTATTGATTCTTTGGGAATTTCACATCATACGCCCCAATTCCACTCACCTCCCAGTCTCCTTATATCCTCTCCTCACCCTGCAACAGCTCCCAAAAGAAAATTTTTAAAAATCTAACCAAATCAAGCAAGCAAGCAACAAAACAAACCAGCCCAAAACAACAACAAGAACAAGAACAAAAAAACCCTTCACTTCTTCTTTCCCTCTTCTCTAATACCTCTTCATGTCCTGGTGGCAATCGGCAGTGGTGTCACACAGTATATCCTTTTGTCCAATCAGCTTGACTGACAAAGTTCATTGCAATGAGTCATTGGTCTGGTTCAAAGCCTCTGGTTTCTGCTAGATCCATATCACTGGATCGTCACTGGAATTCTTCTGGGATATCTTGTAACCACGCTGAGTCATGGAGATCCAGTGGGTATTGTTCCACAGGGCCAGTCCCTTCATGAGCTCTAGCAGGTCCTAGTTGGGGTAGATGTTAGGGTAGGCCAATACAAGGCCTAGCTGTGGGCCTGGGTGGTCATCACTCCAGGCCACTGTGGTCACCTGCCTCAGGTGAGGGGATAGAGCCTGCTCTCCTAAGCCCATGCCATGTCACCAGGGTCAGTTCTCTCTTGCCAGTGGCACCATCTCTCCCGAATGCAGGAACCATCTCTCCTGAGTGCAGGAGATAGCTCTCTTGCTGCAGTGTACAGCTAGAGCCAGCTTTTCGAGGGGTTGGCTCAGGATGGTCCTTTAATTTCATCATATATGGATCCTGTGACACCCCTGAGGTGACACAGCCCACAGATATCAACAAAGACCCCTCCTGCAGCTGGACTAAGGTCCCAGACATGGCACTCGGTAGATGCTCAGCCCGCATGACAGATCAGGATGGCTCCAGTGGCAGCATGGTTCCGTGACACTAACAAGGCCACAGGCTGCAGCCTTAACCCTGGGCTTCCATGTAACCTTTGGTTGCAACATGGGCCTCTGACTTCAACATCGATCCCAGTCATGTAGGACCACAGATCCAGACATGGGCCTTGGCAGCAGCTGAATCTGGATGTTATCACTGCCTCGGGTGGCAGTACAGGCTTCTCAGCAAAGCTCCAGCAACAGTGAGGCCCTCAGACACCAACGCGGCCCCAGAACTTGGGCATCCACACTGCCTTCAATGGTGACAGGAGCCTGGGACATCAACACATAACCCTGGATATGGCAGGACCACATTTCTTGGTTTCTGAATGATACTTTCCACTGTGTTTTTTATTTGATGATTCTTTCATTTCCAGAATTTGCTTACACAGATTATTTTCTGAGTCTCAATTTCCTTTCTGAATTTTCCTCTATGTTTTTGACTTTCTCCTCACAGACTAGTTCATCCTCTGTGGTAACTTCTTGTCTAGATCGTGATTTGATTTAGTGTTTCTACCTGAGTCCTTTCTACAGTCATCAATCCTCCTCAAAATTAGAATTTTGAACTCCTCTTCTGGGACTTCAGCTATCTAATTACCTTCAGTTTTTGGTGTTTAGAGGTTGTGAGTTTGTGGAGGTGTCGTCGTAGATTGTTGTCTCGTTTTTGTGTGTGTATATTTGTTGTACTTTGTGTATGTGGGAGGATGTATCCTTGAGATTTCATTTTGTTCTCCATTCCCCCTCTTTTAGCTTGTTTTGTTTTATCTGGTGAGCTGTCTTCACTTGGAGTTGTTACTGCTATTTAGGAAGAAGACCTTTGTAATGACAAAGGATCTAACAGCAGTTACAGTGTTACCGTGCAGCAGGAGACACTTGTGTACTCTCTTGTGTTTCCAACAAGGTTCAGACACAGTGGCAGTGGGATAGTGATGCTTATTAGGGAAAATGCAATCGATAGTATTTATTTTAGAACTAAGATTATTAATAGTGAACTGGTAAAATAAATTGGCAATGAAATAAATGGGGAAGAGTGAGTAATACTGAGATGAAAAGTATGTAATATAGGTATAATACATAATGTATCACAAAATATATGAGGCAACATTTTTTTGAGTTAAGTATAGAGAAGGACAATCATAAGCACTTTCTTGAATACAAGAAAGCACAACAGAACAATTAAAATAAGAAAGTAATAACAATGATAAAAATAAGCAATAAAATGAAGAAGGCACTATGACTCCAGTTGGAATGAGAAGTCTCCTCCCTGCCCTTGGCTCATCTTTCCTGTTAGAATCAACAGGTTGGAAATGAGGTAGATAGCTTCTAGCCTTAGTAATTTAGACACACTAAGTTGATGTATCCTTCTATGACTAAGTCTGTGTCTGCCAGAATCTCTTGGTAGAGGGCCCTCATTCTTTCTGAGCTTTGGGGATTGTCCTTTCCATGCACAGAGCTTTCTATGAGGCTCTGAGTGGGCAGAGAAGGCCTATCTTCCTGAGCTTACTTTTGTCAAGCCCGTTAATTGCATTGTGACCCATAGCACACTCCAATGATCCTAGACCAACGGTCAGGGAGGTGCATTCCCCTCTCTGGTGAAGATCTCCTTCATGAGAGTCAGGCTCCTATGCCACATTCTGGTTTTGTCTCCACTGCCTGCTTTGCTTCAGCCCTTCGCTTTCTGCATGCTGTATCCAGTATCTGGTTGCATTTCTGCTTCTCTTGGCTTTGGTGCTACCTGCCTGTGTGAGTACTTCTTTGGTAGCTACTCTAGCTAAGCTCAAGTAGAGTGGTGCAACTGGCACTGGTGGCTTACATCCTGTTTTGTGAAGAAAAGCCCAATTAGACAATATCTTAAAGAAATAGAATCTGTCTAAAAACAAACGTACAACAACAACAAAAATACTAACTTATTTTCTTCAGCACAGATCTATCATTTACCTGCTTACTTCCATTTGTGGTTTTTAATCTACTAAGCTGGATATCCCTTTATTATATGAATCATCTATTTTATATAAACACACATCTACTTTCATTCCTTTTATACTGCAAAACAGCATATAAATTTAATTTAAAATATTAATCAGAACCTTAATAATAATAAAAGGAAGACCAGAGTGAAATTAATGAATTATGTACTTCTGTATGGACATAAGTTCAGGCATTACTATACTAAAACACAGCAAGAGTTCAAATGCTTACATCTACTTATAATGTATACATTTAAATTTAAGAACAATAGGATAAGCAACCCTCTAATGAAACAAATACAGCCAAGTGATTTTTTTTGGAACGGTTCAAAGGAATACGAAGTATAATTATCTCCTGGTGTACAACACAGCTGCATTTATGGAAAATGTAGCATCACTTAAAGAACATAAAAACACCATGTTTCTATATGAAGAATTCAGATTTTAGGTATGAACAACATACACAATTTTTCTCTTAATAAACATGCTGTCTATGGGTCATTCAAAGGGATGCCAGCATTAGACTGGACTTGGCTGTATCCTCTCTGTCTTTTGCTATCTGTGGTCCCTCCCTCTCCATTTCCTCAGAAAACCCACTTGCCACACAATTCCAAAGTGCCCCCTAGAGGTTTGTACCATCAGGGAACAGAATATTTTTTTAAGTTTCAGTACCTTACATTAATGATATTATAAATGCCTGCCTGGGCTAGAAGAAAATGTCTACCTATTGACCCTGAGCTCAAGGTCTCTTTTAGCTGAGAATCCCATAAGTGTCCAGTAAAAGATTTCATTTACTGAAGAGAATTAAGAGAGAGCTATACTGACAATTGCATTTTCTCTGTATCCACCTCTTCTAAAAAGATCTCTTCTGTGTTTCCTAGGTACTGGGATCAAACTGTGAAGATGAGGTCATTTCTTTCATCCACACTAATACAGAAGTACGCTAAAGCAAATATCCAAAGTCACTTATGTATGGCACTGAAGTACGTTACTGCATTTTTGTTTTGAAGAGCATCTTTCTAATTCAATTTTGATTAGGCACCTATTAAATTAAGTAGTTTATCTTTCTTGGTTAACCCAATGATGACAGTGTATGCATTTAGGGCACAGGTCAGAAACAACTTGGTTTGAGAACTGAGAAAAAGTGATCTAAGTATTTTGAACATTTCATTAAATAGGATTAGAAATTTGTCTTTTCACAAAAACCTGTTATGATCATATAGATGCTTTGTCAGGTTAGCATACTACTTGTAAAAGCAGTATGGTTACAGTTAATTGAACAGTAAGTGTAAAGTCCTGTACTCACCTGGTGCTTGGCCGCTTCTGTAAGGCTTTGTCCAGGATAAGAGATGGGGCACTCCTCCTCCTTTCTGCTAGTGTTTTCATTTTCTGTTGAGAAAAAAAAATCAAAATGAAGACCGCATGGCTTGTGAAGGAAGCAAATGTTGGTTTTCAATCTAATTTGGCAAGTTTTTCTTTGCAACCTCCATTAAGGGTCTAAAGTTGCTACATCTAGAATAGGATCATGAGTATCACTATGAGCTACAGGCAGTTTTTATTGTCAGGGAATAAGGAAAACACTATCACAGCCTTTTTATACATGTTAAATGTAGAGTAGCTGTTCTCAACCTTCCTAATGCTGGGACCCTTTAATACAGTTCCCTATGCTGTCACCCTTTATGCACCATTCACCATACACCACCCCATGTAGTGGTAACCCTGAACATAAAATTATTTTTGTTGATACTTCATGACTGTAATTTTGCTACTGTTATGAAAACATCTGATACGCAGGATATCTGATATGCGATCCCTGAGAAAGGGCCATTTGACCCCCAGAGAGGGGTCACAACTCACAGGCTGATAACATCTGTGCTAGATAGACATGGGCCATTTTATTTTTATTTCAAGGTATCATTTGGGGATATTGGTTATAATTTTTGGCTCAATTTTATGGTGATCATGTGTTCTCAACAAACCTTCAGTGGAAGAAAAGATTTTGAGAGGAAGGAGAATCAGTTAAATCCCAAATTATAGTGACTAGGATCTTTTTAAAAAATAGGATTTATTGATTTTATATGTACAAGTACTTGGAAGTATGTACCTATGTGCACCATATACATGTAGTGCCCATGGAGGGCAGAAGAGAACATCAGATCCATTGGAATGGAGTTAAAGGTGTTGTGAGTCACCTTGTGGGTGCTGAGAACTAAATCCTGGTCCTCTCTTCAGCCTATCAATCAGACTCTTAAATAGACATATAATCAACTTGTGGTTTTATTTAACATTTAAATATTTGCACAAATGGGTACACTTGGTTTCTTTAATGTTTAAGGAAACTTTGTTCTTTATTTAGGCAGTTTATAAGTAGTAAAATAGACTTGATACTTCAAGTTCTCTGTTTTTAATAACCAAAAATTTGTGGTGAATGAGGATATATTCAATACGAACTATTCAGATAATTGTTCTCCAACTAAAGATTATGAATGTTAACAGTTGTGGATACAGTCAGACAGCCTGTTTATAGAGAGATGGATCAGTAAGATTAACAGAAGTCACAAACAGCCAAGACTAAACTTTGGAACATACCATAAAAGCCATTCTTCCTGACATATCCTCTCCCCATCCTGGCCAGAGTTCTCACTTACTTCCTGAAAGCTTGGAATAGCCATCTTTTGGAAACTGGACCTGGCTTTAACAGTAACCATACAAAACTAACTAGCTAGCTCAGTAACAGCATCTCATTATGTGTTATAGAAGAACCAACCATTTCTTCCGTAGTAAATAAATTTAAGATACTGACAAGGGGCAGAAGAATCATCACCTAGTTGAATAATCCACTTCTTTAGTATGATTCTTACTCCAAAAATTCATCATGTTCCTAGGGAATCTCTCAAATTATTGATGTCACTGGAACTCTGGCCTCATTACTGGGGTTCATCTCACCTTTGTCTCCCATGTAGATACTTGTATCTCCTAATCTCCCAAACACAAATGATAGTGCAGCTGAAGCAATTACATAAAATGATAGAGACCAGGAAGCAAACGGGTTAAGAAATAGAGAATACCAGACACCAGGTCAGGCATTATTGACTATGAATCAGTTACAGGTTCCAGGTTACACAGAGAAAGAAATTCTGCACGTTGTGTACTTGGTGCCTCCCCTTACAGAAGTAGCCCATAGATTCTCAAGCACCTACCTTTCCCAACCACAGTGATTTCAACAACTTAGTTCATATATTACAGCTTTTGAAGGTCCACCTCACTGTTTTCATTAGCCACGCCCCTCAGCAAAGGAACTCGGGAACCTGTGCTATTCCCTAGGCCACTATGACTATTTTCCTATGTGAAGACAGTACTGGAAGACGGGGTTGATTCACTAATAAAGGAGCTGGTTAATAATATGCATCAAAGCTGTTCATATTTTTTTCAGGATTCCATTTCTTGTGACTTGATATCTCTTCCCTGTCTGGACTCCCTTTATTCATTTTTGTTATTGTGGTATTTGAAATGTCAGCAATCCTGCTGGTCCTAGTGGACGTAGCCCCGTACTGTCTGGTTGACCTTGAGGGCTTGCTGACCTTCTCTGTAGGATCACCCCTGGGGCCTGCTGCAGCAGCTTCTTGGCCACTTACTGGTGTCCTCTGACATCAGCAGCAGCAGTCTTCCACATTTGTATGTGACTTCTAACTCTGAACTCTGCATTCAGGTTGATCAAGAATTTGGAAAGAATTCAGAGGAGAGTTATAGAATGAATTAAAATGTGAAGAAAAGAACTTACCACAAAAACCATAACAATGAGATTTTTCATTCACAAATGAATGGTCTCCACATTGGTGCAGCACTGTAACACATAGGAATGGGCACCCACATGAAAGACAGGGCAGTGGGGAATGGGAAAGACCCATGGAAGGAGATTCAAGGGTAACCTTGGCTAAGGGTATTTTAAAATTCACAAAAGCTGTGAACTAATTTTTTCACAGAATTTCAAGGAATCTGAAATGGAATCCTTAGGAATCCACAGACTAAGAAACCATCTGACTTAAGGGCATCTTCCTATGAGAGTTGTAATACATGCAAATGGGTAATTTAAAAAATTGTGACAAGTGTTCTTTTATAAAGGTATTTTTAAATACAGTTTCTTAAAATGAAAACAACATGAAAGAATGTTTGTATACACAGTGATTAGACTGTGTTCTAGGTAACACAGAACTGTTAGATATCTAAAGGGTCAAATACTGAGTTTACTCACCTTGTCCAGCTACATTTATACTGAAGGGGATGCAATAAAATTACAGACAGAATACTACTAATGATTGAGGTTTTAAACTCAGACTTCACTCCTGATGGAGTTATATAATCCAAGACAATCCAATCCTTTCTTGGACTGTACCATTTCTTAGGTCATTAGATGTTTTTATTTCTGAGTCTTCATGGATTTGAAAAAAGCGGAAGAGAAGATAATAAGGGAAAGGAAAGAAAAAACAGTATCATGTGAACCATTTAGGATTCACAGGATTCAATTTGTCCAAGAGCAGCTATATAATGGAAAATATAATGAAGTAGGTATTATTTTGTTCAAAATCCATAGATATCCCTTACTATGTATGAAAACCAAAGGTCCACGGGGACTTTGAAACTACAAAATCACTGTTTTTTTCTCAGGTAACAAGGACTTGGACTTCCTACTTGCTTATAACATGAAATTCAACATATTGGAAGAAGATGAAACTTGATTCCTTCATAAATACATAGTCATACAAGCTTGTTAGGTCAGGCCACACCAGACCAACAAAATTTACAGCTGTTCCAAGGTTAATTATGACTTGGTTTTATGAGAAACCAACTGTACTGTAAACAGCACATATTTTGTTGGTTTATAAATTATTCCGATTACAACTATTTTCTTTTATTTTCTGAATTGAAGTGTGTGATGTTAAGAGTGAGGAGACATCATAGTAGTGGATGGTTGGGAAGGAAATGTTTTCTAAAAGGTAATCTTTTATCTTAAAAATAAATTAAAAAGTTCAAAGAGAAAAATGCATAAACTATACATTAAATTAAAAAGCAACTGTATATGTCTTTTGGAAATGAGCTTCATATTTTGCCAGTTATCTAGTGTGAAGCAGCTCAAAAACTAACAAGAATTTTACATGTGCTAAAAACCAAAAAAGCATGAAATAGTATCTCTGTCTACACTATCCCCAATAGGAGAAGATCTTGCGAGAAAGTGTAAAAGAAAATAGTGACCATATTTTTAAAACCTGTTGCTTTTTTTCTGACAGCCACTTATTCGATAAGCCTAGCATACACATTAGGGAGAAATGAAATCTTTGATTTTTATGCTGTCTCCTCTGAAGCTATATTTAGTCTGGCAGGTCAAAAAAACTATTCCACCCAAGAGCAAATGGGCAGAGGTCACAACTGCAGATGAGAATGAAAAGCATGTAATTCATGTTTTGGTTTGTATTTCAAAAATAACTCAAAGCCTCAGCGATGTTGCCAACTAATCTGTAAGACATTTCCTACTCTACGTCATTTCTATCAGCTGAATTGACTCTATATCCAACTCTCTGTGTTCCCTTCTCAATGTGCTATGCAAACGTTACACAACTTTTGTTGTTGTGACATTATCTCTCTGCCCCTTTCTAGAGAACAGGGATTACCCTCCCTTCAAAACTTGTCCTCTTTCTTTAGCAATTATTTATTGAAACTCAACTTTGCATTCCCAAAGCTTAGTGTAATGTCTGGCAAAGGCTATATAGTCAACACATAGGGGAGGGGAGTGATGGGAACTTTAAAGCTCAGTCATCCACCACATCAGCACCACCATCCCCAAACACATACACAAGAAAACAAACACCGAGGCATAGTGCTCAAGCCTATATAATCCCTGCACTTGAGAGGCTGCTGTAGGAAGATGGCTGTGAGTTAGAGGCTAGCAAAGGCTATACTGTGAGGACCCATTGGAATAAGGAAAAAAGAAGGGAGGGAGGGAGGGAGGGAGAGAGGAAGAAAGGAAGGAAGCATGGATCTTTAACAAATTTTATGAAATAGGGGCATTTGCAAAGGAATTAGACAGTAAGTGGCATTGCTGCCCACTGGAAGCTATCCTTTCAGTGCTATGTTACCACCACATTGTGCTACTTGATAAATATCTGTCTGATGATTTAGCAAAGATTCATAACCTGTCAACAAACTGTGCCAGGGTAACTGGATAACTACCCACAAAGGAAGGAAGTTAGGGTTGTATCTTATACCACATACAACAACTCAAAAGTGATGTAAGGTGTGTGTTAATATAAAAAACCGACAAAATACTAGTCATCTTTGTCATTTTTAATGAGGCAATCAATTTTTCTTCATTGTAACACCACAAACAAAAGCAA